TACTTTTTGTAGATGCAAAATTTCAATGGGCAAAGGCATATTGAAACAAGTTCAATCTTAGGACAGGCATTTGCAACTCCATCGCTGGAGCTGAATGTTGTGTTTACACTATGAAAATGGATGGTGTGTCCTATCATAAGAAAAAAGGAGCTATTTCTAGCTGAGAGAAACTTACAGTGTAATGTATCAAAATGCAGAATAAAGCAGATTTCACTACTATGAATTCATATTTTCATAAAGAATTATACTGTCACCCCATATAATAACCACTTCCTGACACTCTATGGTGGCATTCTCCAACTGCGTTCTGGAAAGTAATAATTTTAGTGGAGAAAAAAAATCTATTATCAAAGAAATTCAACCAAGCTGCCTTATATTGAAATAATAATCCATCATAAAACAGAAAAAAAGGAGCGCCTGGGTGGCTCAGTCGGTTAAGCCGCTGCCTTCGGCTCAGGTCATGATCCCGAGGTCCTGGGATCGAGCCCTGCATCGGGCTCCCCGCTCAGCGGGAAGCCTGCTTCTCCCTCTCCTTCTGCCTGCCTCTCTGCCTACTTGTTCTCTCTCTCTCTCTGTCAAATAAATGAATAAAATCTTTAAAACAAATAAATAAATAAATAAAACAGAAAAAAACCTAACAATCAATCACACTAGTAGCAAGAAATGAACACATAGGAATAAATATTCAATACATATAAAATAAGCTATGAAATTTCATGAGAATATTGAAGAGGGTGAATACACCCATTTACAGACTAAAATGGGGTGGGCTGGGGTATGCTGTGGTTCTCAGGAATTGTGAGCGAGAACAAAGGTCACTGGGAAGGAGTTAGAGGGAAAGGTTAGCGAGGGCGGAGTGTGAAGCTATCCGAGATGTATAAACACTGAAGACCAGCCAGAGGGGTCTCAGAACAGGCAGAGAATATCATATAAATTGTAAAGTAGCTGGGTTTGGGGCTTTCCCCAGACCCAAACTGCCTTGCCTGGGAACGGAAGATGTTTCATTTTGTCAGGGCAATGTGATGGGAAGAACAAAAGGAAGGAGCTCGAAGTTTTTGCCTTTCTTTCCACTGCATGTCTTCCTCTCTAGAAACCAGAGCCACATAAGTAGTTAATTCTACCTGAGTGCCTGCTGATGGGCAAGCGGGTACACAGAGGATCACAAATCTAGCAGAAAAGGCTATTGGCTGTTACTAGAGTGATGGCACCTTGGAGGATACACAGAAGATATCTCACGTTGGTCCAGCAGAGCTCAAAGCACCTTAGCACCTACTTCTTGCCTGGTCTCTTGAGACTCCCTCCACCTGTGTGGAGGAGGCCACTGGTTGCCTTTGTGCCAGGGATCCTTGGCATGGTATGTTCTGTAGAAGCTGGAAGGGAAAGCTGGTCCCTGGGATTGGGACCTTATCTGTGTAATGAGTGCCTTCCTCCCTGAGGCACTATTTGCTTTTAAAGTTTCCTTAGAAACCATGCATATAATACTTAACTCATCCTTGGCTCCATCCAGACATTTTTTTGTGGAAGTCACAAGGGCTGTTCTTTTCAACTGTGGCCTTTTGCTTCTCCCTGCTTTCCCTTGGTTTCTAAAGTGTGGCCATTCCAGAGGGCCAAGGCCTCATTTGTCATGCCAAGATTTGTGTTTGTGCTCTTGGCAGGACGTGTTGTTAACCTTTGAATACTACGTCTCTGAAGGAAAAGGATGTACTCCAGTGACACACTTTACGTTAGAAAGATTGTTAGCAGGGGCAGACATGACATCGGCAGCACATAGGCCCCGTTCTGTGGTTGTGTGAGGGCACCCGTATGCCAAGCCAGGGGAGATGGGTAAACTGTCCCCTTCCCTTGCCAGGGGAGGGAAGGCCCAGCACCCTGTCTCCATCTTCTAGGCCCTCAGCGTTCACTCCCACTTCTCTTGTCCCTTCCTCCTGCTTCCCTCCCCACATTGCTGCACAATGGTTGCCCTCCCCGATTCCCAAAAGATGTGGTGGTTGTCTGAACTCTGGGCCTGGCCACCTGAAGAAGGACAGTGCTGGAGAAGTGCCTGAATCTTCTTTTCAGATACTGCTACTTCCCTATGACCCAGCCCTGAAGAGACTAGACTCAGCCCTGGGATTTGTAGTCACATCACTAAAACAAGCTCTGATTACAAAATAATTGGTATGTTGATTATGGTTACCGTACAGAGACACCTCAACCTTCACCAAGAGTCTTTCGTTACTTGTGCCTGAAAATACAATCACCATATTTCAGTGGTACCTTTTTTTCTAAATGAAAATCATTTTCTTTTTTCCTGATGAAGTAATATGAACTCAATTTAAAGAATTTCAAAAATATAGAAAAATATAAAGAATAGTGTAAACCTCCCCAAATAATCTCTGTTAAGAGTTTGGGGTCACACCTCCTAGGTTTTTCCTGTGCATGCACATACGTTCAGACTTTCTAAAAAATGTGACTGTACTATTCATGATGTTTATTCATGATCTATTGCCACACAAGACAACCTAAAACTCAGAGATATAAAACAACAACCACCTTGCTATGGCTCATGAATTCTCTGGGTGAGGAGTTTGGACAGGAGACATCAGGGGTGGCCTGTCTCTGCTCCATGAAGTCTGGGACCTCAGCTGGGAAAACTCAAATGGCTGGGGATAATTGGAATATCTGGGGTCTGGAAACATCTGGAAACTTCTTTCTTCATTTGCAGAGCTAGCAGCACCTGAAATTGGAATTCTGAGCCCAGCTGGGATTGTTGACTTATGTGGCTTTTCCACATGGCTTGTACTTCCTTACAGTATGGTGGCCTCAGAGTAGTCAGACTTCTTATATGGTGCCTTGAGGTTCTAAGAATGAACCAAGGTAGAAGTTGCGTGGCCTTTTGTAATCTAGCCTTGGAAGTTATATAACGTCATTTCTGCCATACTGTACTGGTCAAAGAAGTCACAAGCCCACAGAGATTCCAGGGGAGGGGACAAAGGCTCCATTCTATGGGAGGAGTGTCAGAGAACTTGCAGCTGTGTTTTAGCATTCTGACAAACTTTTCTTATTTTTATATAACATAGACAGTATACTAGCTTGAATTGTGTCCCCCCCCCCCCCACCAAAAGGTATGTTTAAGTCCTAATCCTCACTACCTGTGAATGTGACCTTATTTGAAAATAGGGTTTTTGTAGATATAATCGAGTTAAGATAAGGTCATAGGGTAGGCCCTAATCTAATGACTGGTATCCTTATAAAAAGGGAGAAGTTTGGACACAGGCACGTGGACACATAGGGAGAAGGCCCAATGAAGAGGGAGGCAAAGATTGGAGTGATATTTCTATAAGCCAAGGAACATCAAGGATTACCAGCAACCACCAGAAGCTGGGAAGAGCCAGGGACATCCCTAGAACCTTCAGAAAGAACATAACCATGCCGACACCTTGATTTTGTATTTATTTTAATTGGAGTATAGTTGACACACCATGTTGCATTAGTTTCAGGTGTTCAACACAATGATTTGACAATTCTATATGTTCTACTGTGCTCACCACAAGTGTAGCTCCCGTCTGTCACCAGACAAGGCTGTTACAATGTCATTGATTATATTCCCTATGGTGGGCCTTTCATCCCCGTGACTTATTCATTCCATAACTGGAAGCCCGTGCCTCCCACTCTCCTTCCCCCACTTTGCCCATGCCCTTATCCTCCTTCCCTCTGGCAACCATCAGTTTCTTCTCTGTATTTGTGGGTCTGTTTCTGCTTTCTTTTGCTTTTATTTTTGCTTTTTAGATTCCACACATAAGTTTAGTCATATGGAATTTGCCTTTCTCTGTCTGACTTATTTCCCTTAGCATAATACCCTTTACATCCATCCATGTTGTCACAACTGGCAAGATCTCATTCCTCTTTTATGGCTGAGTAATATTCCATTATACATATATATACCACATCTTCTTTATCTATTCATCTACCAAGGGACACTTGGATTGCTTCCATATTTTGGCTATTGTAAATAATACTGCCATAAACATAGGGGTGCATATTTCTTTTTGAATAAATGTTTCATTTTCTCTCTGACACCTCGATTTTGGACTTCTATCCTCCATAACTGTGTAAAAATAAATGTCTGTTTTAAGCCACCACAAAGTACAAAGTACAAAGTGGCTTTGTACTTTGTCCTTTGTCACAATAGTTCCAGGAAATGAACACAGTTACCCATATCCGTATAGATCTCATTGTCATTTCATAGTTGTACAAAGTAACCATTCAATGTTTAATCATCACTGATATAAATCAATCTTAAATAGATCTAAGGAGGGGCGCCTGGGTGGCTCAGTTGGTTAAGCGACTGCCTTCGGCTCAGGTCATGATCCTGGAGTCCCTGGATCGAGTCCCGCATCGGGCTCCCTGCTCGGCAGGGAGTCTGCTTCTCCCTCTGACCCTCCTCCCTCTCATGCTCTCTGTCTCTTATTCTCTCTCTCTCAAATAAATAAATAAATAAATAAAATCTTAAAAAAAAATAGATCTAAGGAATTTAGCCCAATAATCAGCATGAAATTATATTCTATGCAATTAAGTGGGTGACTCATAGCCTCCCTTTCTTTTCCCCATAGGGCCAGCAAGGTTAGCACAGAGTTGGCATTCAAAAAATATCAATAAACTTGTTACCACCACCAAGAGAGTGTCAGAAAATAGGAAGTCTGATCACCTACAAGCATTATATTAAAGGATTCCGAATATTAAGGATTCTAAGAAAGTCCTGTCACTTCTGGAAACCTGCTTGGTCAGGTGAGCTGAGCAACAGGTAAAAAACTTCAACCTAAGAGAACGTTCCCGTAAAGCATCAAATATTTTAAAGTGAACGTGGTTATAATACAAAACGTTAAAACCCATTGTTGTGTACAGATGGGATACTTCCAGGTCCCCGGCCAAAAAAGGAGTTTTAAACATCAAAGCCTCTTTGCCAAATGTTAAGAAATGATTCAGAAATGTCAACCTGGCAGACAACTACGGAAACCTACCCCATGCATTATAGACCTTTCCTGCTGTTCCTTTATGACTTCTGGGTTGGATGAGGCCTCCAGTGTTTTCCTTCTCAAGTTCAACTATCCGTTTCTTGGCCCCATTTGTGACTTCCTGGACACAGAGGGAAGACATGGGGTAAATCTGGAAAGGAACCACAGGCCTCCTCCCTCTCCCTCGTGGGGCCAAGTCAGAGCAACAGGCCGAGTGGCCAACTCGGGAAGTGATGAGGCTGCAAGCCCTTCCAGTCTCGTGGTTTCTTTCTTCTACAGACCAGGAGTCTTCTCAAAAAGGGCCTACAGGAAAAAAATAAAATAAAATAAAATAAAGCCTGTTTTAATTCTAAGGCGCGTGGCAGTGTGTTTGCCATTTCCAAGGGATCTTTAGCTGCTCTGAGCACAACAGACTGGACAACTAAAGTGCAACAAGAATCCTTAGTTCTTATTTCAGCCCCAAAATCCAAAGAAAGCTGTGGCTCCTTCAATCCCCATCCACTTCATTGGAGTGGCATGTGAACTTGACACTATGGCTGAACAAGGCACGGATCATTCTCCTTTCTCCCAACAGAGCCATGGCAGCTTTATTTGGTGTGAAGCAAGTAGCTGTGTGGTTCTACATGAGGACTGGATTCTGAGCTTAGTTTGAACCTCAGCCCTCTAACTCCATCAATTCCTACCCATGACACCTTGGTAAGTCATTTATCCTCACAGAAAGCATTTCCCATGTCACAGGATTAGGATGAGGATGAGGAAGACAGATGTTTCATGAATGCATACCAAAATATCACACCCCCACCCACACACACACACCTGCCCCTCTGCCCACCTGCTCCAGCAATTGGCAGGAGAAAGCATCAGAGGTGATGCGAACGTTCTGGAAAGTGCACATTGAAGCCAACTCATGGGAACAGAGCAGAGTCCTAGGACTAGGACTTTTGCTTTTGGTAGGACTAGTTTTTATTGAGGACAACATTGGAGCCCAGAGAGATTAAGCAACTTGTCCACAGTCACACAGCTGGTTTCTGGTAGAGCGCGGATCAGTACTGAAGCCTCTGCTGTTCTTTTGGGGATATCAAGCCGAACAAAGTAACTCAGGAGGAAGGGATGTAAGAGACTATGTAGGGATGTAAATGTAGGGATGGAGTGGGATCCAGTAAGAGCTGAGGGCTTGGCTGTCCTGAAGCCTTGTGAAAGACTGAGAAAAGGTGGCTGAAGCTCTGGGAAGGTCAGGGTAGGAGTTACAGTTGTTTCCTTCCAACCGGTTCTGAGTTGTATGTGCAGGACCTGAGCAAGTGGCTACAACGCTGTGTGTGGTTGTTGGAACTCACAAACTTCTAGAGCCCACAGTGTGAAAAAGTAAACAGGTCAGATCCAAGGCTGACACAAAGCAAGAAGAACGCCACAGATTTGCAAGTTAGGTTGCTCATCATTACACAAAAATGCCATTTTCTCCCAGCCTGGCTGGGCCGTACCTCCCTCCCAACTAGAATCATAGCTCTTCAGGAAGGGGATCGGTCTGTAGCTGTGGAAAATTCTGGGCAGATCAATGCGCTATTTCTAGATGTCAGGTGAGCTCCAGGACTCGCAAGTCTTCACCCTAAGCCCATTAATCAAGTCTGATGACTTAATTTACTGTTGAAACAAACATGTCAGTTGTAATGTGATACATTACAAACATCTCTGCTTTCCAAATGGCAGGGGAGTTACTGCCAGAGAAGAAAGGAGAATTAAGCCCTTCTCCAAACAAAGACATTCTCCCTTTGTATAACCAGAGACAGGAGATAGGATCTGAGTGTGTATTCACTGGCTTCTGGGCTGGAGATGCCAATCATTTCTTCCCTGTCCCCCAGAACTTACAGCAGAGGCCCCAGGAACTGCTCCCCTACCTCCAGATGTAGCAGCTGGCCAGTCCTTGCCGAATCCTTCCAATTTTCCAGCTGTGTACTTGGGGATAGGAAGCCACGATCAGTTCGCTAGAGGCTATGTCGACCGAGGAGCTGAAGCTGCCGTTTGAGCTGCCATTTTTGGCTTGATCCCTGGAGAACCCGAAGTGACTCAGACGTACAGCAGCAGTGAGAAGCCCCAGTGCTCCAGGGAGAGAGACAGTGATGAAGACAGGAGGTGACCTGGTTCCAGATACTTTCCTGTTGTCTGCATGTGGCCTCCTATACTTCCTCTGTCGATTGGAAAGGAAAACTAATCAAAGATGGAGAAGAATCCTAGTATGTTCCCAGGAGGACTTGCAAGGCAACGTCCTGGGGAAGGTGTGGCTGGCCTTAGGAATATTGCAGGGTGCATTTTCCTCCCTTTCAGGGATTTTTTTTTCCTTGAAAAACAAATAGTAGTTTCTAAAGAGGAGTTGAATAAAAGAAATATATTTTCCTTAGGAACAAGATGTTTTTTGCATTTGCCAGATGGACCCAATAGTCATCTGTCAGTAATGCATTTGTTTTCCTCATGTAGACATTTAATCATTTAATGAGTACATACGGGCTGGCTCAGGTCACACTGGCCGGAACACATGTATGCGAGCACATGCGCGCGCACACACACACACATAGTTCCAAGGGAGGCATTTGCCTGATGGAGATTATAAAGCTGGTCAATAAAATAAAAAGCATTTACAGAACAGCTTTTTGAAGTCCAGCCTTAACAGACACTATGCCTCTGTCATTTCCCCCCATAAGACCTAGATTTACATCTGTGTTTTACATACACTTTTGAAGGGTTGCCACATTTAGCAGAAGGTCTTGAAAGGTTTGTTTTGATGGCACTTAAAAAAAAAAAGTCGGAATTTATGGATTAAGAAAGAGATGGGCTAATTGGCTTCTCAGGGGGACTGCACTCTCTCCCTCATTTTTTGTTAGATGCTTACTCTTGCAATTTATGATTCCTGTTCATGATTTGAAAGCTCCTAAGAGCCAAGCAGTTCTAGCCCTTACTTATTTAATTCATTCACTAGCTAGGTCAAATACATCCCTTCTATTTGGCTAAAGACTGGCCAGAGGTATTTTAAAGTGTACTAAGATTTCAAGTTATTTTAAGTTTTATCTCTAAGGCCCCTTGCAAGTGTTGATTTGTCTACAAATTACAAGTGCAGAAAGAAAAAATGGCCACTTTTTAAATTTTTTCCCCAAAATATTGATCAAGCTCATCCTAAGTACCAATTTGTCTCAGCAGCGTTGAGAAGAATGAGGCACCGTCTCTGAATACAAGTAACTCACAGCAGAGGCATTCCGCCTGGTAAAAACAGGATGTATTTCTTGGGGAATTTCTCACAGTAGGACATAGCTCAGGACTTTTGCCCTTTGCTTTGGAGAAAACTTTGCTCAGAAGTAAGCACAGTTGGTCTAAGTGGTGTGAAATGGGGGACAAGGGTTCCCCAGGGAAGGGTCATTCAGGGGGCTTAATGCAGGAGGTAGGACTCAAAAAGATGCGGAGCAAGCGTTGGGGAGCTAGAAAAATGGAGGGAAGGAAGAAAGGCCCATCCGAAGAGCTGACCCTGAGCCCCAAGGGGGCAGAGGCCAATTAAAGAGCATTGTGAGAGATGAGATCAGCTTGTTCCGGCAGGTTGTGATGGACCTTTGAATCCCACGGCCCAGGGTCCCCCTCTGTTCTCTTCTATATCCTCTCTATGCTAAGGCATGACATGAACAAACTCTGAATAAACAGAGCTGCAGGCCAAGATATATTTGGGAAGACTAATCTGGTTCCACCGTGTGGGAAAGATCAGAATGAGGGAGACACTAGAGGTGGGAGACAGGGACCAGTTAGGAGCAATTGTCTAGGAAAGTAACCAGTGCTTTGGAAATTCAGCTGGGATTGCTGGTTTCAGTCTGGGGTTATAAATTCCAGAACAACACAATGTTGACAGGGAGAGTTATAGAATAGGACCCCGCCCGGGTTCACTTGGGAGGGAATGAGGACAGTGTCTCACCCATCTTCTGCCTGAGCTCTCTCCTCTGTCCTGTGGGTTTACCCCCTACCCCTGCTCCCAGGGCTCCCTTCTCCTTGCCTTGTTCTGGGGATTGGGGAGCAGATGGAGCTTCTTGCTTCCATCAATCAGCAATCAGCAAGCCTCATTGGCAGCTGACCAGTTTGGGAATCTCTGGTCCAGGTGGAGCCTCCCCCAAACCATCCTCCCTATCAAAGTCCTCCACATGGGTGGTGGTGGTTTTATTTAACCCGGTCTCTCTTCAGTTACTATTGCAATGTAGCAAAACATCTAATTGTGCCCATTCAGATCTAAAGATGCAAAGAATGCTGTGTTAGGGGACAAACCCAGAGACATGGCCACAATCATTGCACCTGCCCCAGCTGACACCAGCCTGAGCTCAGGGCCCCTGCCAAGGAGGTGGCATTTCTAGCCCTTTGCAGAGCGTCATTCGGGATCTGAGAGCCAAGAAAGCCAACATGCTCAGAATGCGCATGAGAATTTGTCTCTACTTTGGCATAGGCCTAGGAACAGGGCCTCCCTGCAAATGTAAAGTGGAGAACTTTGGAGTAAAACTCAGTTCACGGGTAAAACTCTGCTTTCCTTTAAAGGCTCTGGTCATCTTGTTAACAATTAGGAAAGAGAATAGTCCCTTGGAAGTAGCCTCCTAATCCTATATATTTTATTATAGTTCTAAAAATCTCTCAGAGGGCAGCAGATGCCTTTGTCCTACATTGAAATTATTTGTGACTAGGTCAAGAGTCAGTCTTAGGAAATCACAAGACATCCCATGAGCACTGGCCAGAAGTTAGATACTTTTAATAGCAACATGTTTTTTTAAATTTTGTGTTTATATCATTTTGTTCTAAATGTAGAATCTATTTGGAATTTGGAAAAAAAGAAAAGAAAAGCAAAATACATAACTCACTATCACTGGCTTTAAAAGAAATAATCCAAACTTTGTATTTGGTTGTGGGAGACAGGGTTAGTAAGGGTGTCTGAGTCTCTTCCCCTATCCAAATCCCACCCACCCTGGAGTGTTTGGTTCAAGTTCCTTCTTTATAAAGTTTTCCTGAGTCAGAACAGCCCAAATTCACCTCTTCCTTTTCTGAACTGCTATAAAAATTAGTCAGTACCGTACAGTTTAGTTCATTGTTAACTGCCTTGTAGTATATATACTATTATATGTGCTGTTCCTGTTTCCCCAACCAGATGGCAAGGTATTCTAGAAAGTATGGCTCCTGTTAGGCTTCTCGTTATCTCCCAATAATGGAGCATACTCCTGAGAGCATTGTAGGTATTTGATCAAGACTTCATGAATGGAACATTGAGCATCTAAGTGGGGCTCATTTCAGGAGCCACATCTGGCTCTGGGTCTGCCCTTTACTGCAGGAGGAGTTCAGGCTCAGCATGGTCCAGGGCTGGACATATGGACAAGGTGTGTTGTGACGATGTCAGTCACTCATTGTTGACAGTCAGAAGTAGCTGTGAGACATACTGGTTAGGGACAGTCTGCAAACCTTGGCTTGGCTCTAAATTTTCCCACTTGTTAGCTATGTGGTGTTGGATAAGTTACTTTACTAAACTGTAGTTTCCTTATGTATAAAATGGTAACAAAAATAGTACCACCTACTAGAAGTTTTTTTGAGGAAGAAAGTAAGTTATGTAAAATCATATGTCCCACTTCATCCATTGGGTATGTAAGCAATGTAATTCCACCCATGTCCTCAGAATATGCCACTTGAGGGCCTACGTGTCCAGATTAGGAAAGTTCATCTTCCTATTCCTTCCCTGTGGACCATTTCCAGTGTCAGCCTGGAGACCCAGAAACACCTACTCAGTGTCAAGTGTCAGTCCTGGATCTTCTCTCCTTGTGTTGGGGTGGGGGATGATATGGAGAAAAGTAAAGAAGAAAGAAAAAGCTGCGTAAGGATTCCTTTATGCTACGTCACCACTCTCTCCACCAAAAAGACTCTTAGAAATAAAGAGAGCATTCCTGATGGAGGCAGAGGGCTCTCGGAGTGGCCAAAAGGCCTCCAATGTTGGGACTTTGTTCAGGCCTGGACTGTTGGACTAATTTGGCTGTTGTTTGTCCCTATGGGACAATAAGCAGGAGAGACCTCTTCTCCAACTCATCAGTGGGAGACAGTGGAGCCTTGATGACTGATAAGTGAGGTTCATATTTATTCACTGCTAGTGCTGGTCCCATGGCAGTGAAGGCTGGCTGTAGGAGAATGTTCCAGTGTAGGGGTCAGGCAACCTGGGTCCTAAGACCTTCTGGAGCCACCAGCTGCCTATTCTGTGGCCTTAGCAAGTCACAGTCTACTTCCGATGTCTCAGTTTTCTTATCAGTCAATGGGATAGATAACGTCTACTTTATCCTCTGTGCAGATTTTTGTGGGACTGCAACCATCATGGGTTGGAGCTTGTGTGGGAACAGCTATACCACTTTCTTTCTCCTCCCTCTCCTTGAAGGAGTGGCTCCCAGTGGCTCCCCGGACAGTGTGTACTTGGGGATGAGTGAGTAGCTTGGACTGGTCACCAGAAAGGGCCCTAGAATAGAAGATTAGATTCAGATGAGTACTGTCAAAAAGGATGAACTGTGGAAACTTCCTGCTATCTATCTATCCACCTATCCATTTATTAAACACCTATGAATTGAGTATCCAGGGTGTGCCAGGCACCCTGAGGCCCTTTGCATTTCTCCTCTGGGCCTGACTGTTTGCTAGGCTCTAGCAGTGAGAAAGCATGAGGACAATCTTATTTGTTTTTACCCCTTTCTTTGGGATATGCTGAGAGGCCTTTCTGTCCTAACCATCAGCCCAGAACAAATCTACATGGGACCTGAGGGCAGGGGCAGCTTGGCCTGACCAGAGAGCTCTGACCCCCAGTTCTGGCCTGTTCGCATCAGCTAGCCTTGCTCCCGCACACTCGGTAACCGGCAGCAGCACCGGGACGGGCAGGAGGCATTTAGGATTGACAGGGGACAAGAGGTGGCAGATGAAGTTTCACCTAGGGTCACCCTCCCCGCCAGAATTTCCCACTCTACCTTCTGCTGCTCTTGACCTTTCCCTCACTCTGCTCACTTCCTTCTGACTGACTGATCAGTTGAAACATGGTCAACTTTCCTCTTTCATCTGCTCCAGTCCAGGAGGTCTTAAGAATGACACATGATTGGGGGAAAAAATTTGCAAATTATTTTTGAAAGAAAAAAGAGCACATTGGAAAGTAGGGATTTGGAG